AGAGAGAGAGAGAGAGAGAGAGAGAGAGAGAGAGAGAGAGAGAGAGAGAGAGAGACCTGTGGCCAGTCAGCCTCGTCAAACATTACATAAGGCTTGGTCTCCAAGGAGTCAACATTCAGTCTTGCTATGCTGCCATGCTAGCTGGACGCTGGCTTGATGCTGGCTCGACACTGGCTGGACGTTGGCTTGACGCTGGCTAAGCGCTGGCACTGTGGACGACGACGCGGGACTGATGCAGCACGCTGGCGCCTTCTCTGCTGAGTGTCAGCCTATGCTGATATGGCGCATGCCACCTATCTTCATTGCTGTTGTGGCGCATGCCACCTGTCGTCATTGCTGATGTGGCGCATGGCACCTTTCTCCATTGCTGATGTGGCGCATGCCACCTGTCTTCATTGCTGATGTGACATTGGCCACGCTGTCTACACTGGGTGATTGGTCGCGGCAAGGAGGGGGATCGGGATCTGTGGATGATTGATCGGGATCGGGATACTTACCTGAGGTTGACGTCAATACTGTGCGCTGCTGATTGTCTCCATCGTCTTCACCAGGGAACAGTGCCACGTGGTACTTCGATGTGATCAGAACCTATTAGACTCATTACTGGATACTGACTGATGACGTGGAGGTGAAGGGAAGCCCAGAGAAGGAGTGGGAATTGTTGGGCTACTCTCGTGGTGGTCATTGATGGTCATTGTCTCGTCCACCCTCTCATCTGTCTATTCCCCCTCCATTCTCTTCATCTATTGGTAACGAGACATTGTATCAGAGGTCACATTCATGATTAGTGGAGACATAGTCCAGATCTGAGTTTCCGATGTCTGACGAGTATCTTCCAGTCTGGGTTCATTACAAATCAATCAATCAACCAATCAATTTGTTTATTCTTTCTTAATCGCACTAACGCAAGAAAAAAAGAAGTTTCGATTTTTTTTCCCCTTTTTCTTTTGGGGGGCTACCCCTCTACTCCAGCGACCCCCCCCCGGTCGTCGGATTTCAAAGGGCACCCCCCCCCGGCCGTCGGATTTCAACCCCCCGCCCCCCCCCC